ATATATGTGTAGTCAGACATTTGGAAAAGAAGGGGCGAAATCAAGGGAAATGGCATTTCTGCACGGACATCTTTATATACCCCAGAAAAGTGGGGATACAAAAATACTTATCCCAGTCACAATATTGTACCCTTCCTCCATAATGAAGTTGTGATAAATTTATGATGAAACACAAGCCAAACAACTTCCTAACATGAAACTTTACACAAATATTGAGACCATCAAGTCCGTAGTTGTAAGCATTTTTTAAAAATTACCAATCAAACTTAAAGGATGATGAATATCAGATAAATCTAAAAGTATATAAAGTGTATAATGCAAGAAAATAGAATATAATAAAATACACATGGAAAAACCAATCTTGAAAGAAAAAGAATGAGCTATAAAAAGTGTGTAATAAGCGATAAATGTATATTCGTCGGTGGGGTGACAAAACCTCTTAACATCATGAATTTTCAGGAGAGCAAAAAAACTGACCTTCAATTTAAGTGCACAAAGTGCTAATTTGAATGCTAAAATTACACCTTCGCGATGTCAGAAATCGTGTTGCGCCAACTAGAATGACCAAATAGCGAAAGAAGCACATTATTCATTAATTTGAATGAAACATATATATATATATATTCTAACAAAAACTTCATAGATTTGAAAACTAAAAGAGTAATATAAACCCAAGATATGTCTTACAGCATTAAAATCGTCGAATTTCAACGCAAGACAAATTAATTGAAATGACAAACTCGCGAATTCGGCCCGAAAATCATATACTACTACTACTACTACTACAAATGAGAAGAAGAAGAAGAAGAAGAAGAAGAAGAAGAAGAAGAAGAAGAAGAAGAGGAAGAAGAAGAAAAAGAAGGAGAAGAAACAGAAGAAAAAAGAGAAGACATAGACGAATCATTTCAGCTACATAAGTGATTAATTTTCTTTGATCGTTGTTTACCAGTGCATATTCCAAACTTCGTTGTCAAGAGAACGTACACGAGTTGTGAGTAAAGCAAGAACAAAGATAAAGAGAGGCCTAGGGTTTAGATTCAACTTAATTGTCAATTTCTGTAAACCCGGCACTGATAATCACGTATCAACCGTGTTGTTACCACGTGACGCCTAAAACAAAAACAATACTAATCCTGTCATTACCTCCCCTGGATCAAGTTTGTATTTCCATTGTTTGCTTTGGGCGCCCTAGTCTCTTTGTACGCCGGTGTTTATACAAAGTTGTATATTGATTATAATGTCAAACTTGGTTTTTTACAAGGAACATTAGGCTCCTCAGTTTTCTTCATCGTCATCATATTCAACCAAATGATAGCAATACTAATTACAATGATATTGATGATGATTATAAAAATGAATACAATTATACTTCTACTACTACTATCACTCCTACTACTACAGCGAAGAAAAAGAAAAAGTACAAGAATCTTTTCAGCGATATAAGTGATTAATTTGTTGTTGATCGAAGTATACGAGTGCACATTCCATACTTCGTTGTAAAAATAACGTAAGAGAGTCGTTATGAAAGCAACAACGAAGGGAGAGAGAGAGAGAGAGAGAGAGAACGGCCCAGGGTTTAGATTCATTTTTTTCAATATCTGTAATCCCGGCCCTGATGATCACGTATCTAACGTGTTGTTGCCATGTGACGCTATTGCTAATAATACTAGTCAGTTCTTGTTCAGCGCATGACACATTATGATAGTCTTTATGCACTTTCAAAGAGCTTTGTAATTCATTACCCTAGCTTTAGCTCTGGCAGCCGTTACCAGCGCACAGTGCGTTTCAATGAATAATCCTACCAGGTACCCAATTATCTCCCCTGGATCATTTTTTTTTTACAAGGAGCGTTAGTCTCCTCAGTTTCATCATGTTATTTAAACAAATGATAGCAATACTAATAACAGTGATATTGATAATGATTATAATAATGAATACAATTATATTTCTACTAATAATATTACTACGAATTCTACTACTACTGCTACTACTACTACTACTACGACGACGAAGAAGAAGAAGAAGAAGACGACGTACAAGACATATTTCAGCGATATAAGTGATTAATTTGTTGTTGATCGAGGTATACGAGTGCACATTCCATACTTTGTTGTAAAAACAACGTAAGAGTGCATGCGTTAAGAAAGCAACAACGAAAAGAGAGAGAGAAAGAGAATTATTGTACACATGCACTACTATTTTTGTTTATATCTTGTTTATTAGTCACATTCGAGAAGAAATGACACTTATCAATGTTTGTATTTTCATGGTTTTCTTTTGGCGCCGTTTTTTTAATAAAAGGTGAGAATTGATTATAAGGTAAAACAATTTTTTGGGCAGGGAGCGTTAGGCTCCTCAATTTCATAATTATCATTATATTCAAACAAATGATAGCAATACTAATAACAATGATGGTGATAATGATTATAATAATGGCTACAGTGAACTTTCTAAAGCTGGTTTTCTTGAAGTCGATCAAAGATCAAAACAACTCGTATTGCATCACGTGCATAAAATATATCATACTAGGTCGAATCATCATATTCGATCCAACATCGATCTAGTTACTGACGTACATGATTATAAAACAAGAAATAGCCGATTCAACTTTAACTTACCAGAAAGAGTAGGTAGTATTGGAAATTTGTTTCATTACAATGCCATAAAACATTGGAATTCCCTTCCCAATGGTGTAAAAGAAATAGGAAACTATGATCACTTTAAGAGGAAATTAAAGGAATACCTAATACCTGACAGCCAGAGAAGAGAAGTGAATGACATGTTATATGATTGAAATTGTTATTCTTCTGTCGATTCATACGTTTTCATGTTGTATATACTTATGTTTTCGTACGTTATAGCAATTCTACAAAATCATCATTATTTTCCTCTTCTTCCTTCTCCTCTTTTTCTTCTTCTCCTTTTTCTTTTTCTGCTTGTACTTAATATCATTTCTATCATCAGTTTAATGTTGTTGTTATTATCATTATATTTAATAAAAAGTAGTTCTTTTAATTTTCTTATCTGTCTGTAAATATTACTATTTTAACTTATTAATGTCATACATGTCTGTAAGGGACCCCTCGGGAAATAAACTCTCGAGCTTTCGTGGGTCATCCTGTTCAAGCTGACTCATTTTTGATCTGTTATTATTGTATGTTAGAAGCTTGTCGAATACAAATCAATCAATCAATGCATACAATTATACAATTAAACGTGTACGTATTATCAAAATCGTAGACGGTATTGTATCAACAATCATTAAATATATATATTGACTAATTGCAAGTGATTTAACCATAGTCAATGTACCAGTTTCTGTTTCCGGTTTCTTTTCCAGTTATCTCACATTTGTAGCATTTTCTCTAATTTTTTTGTTTGCAAATCTATCTTTAGAGCACATTGCAGATTCAATTCAAATCAATTCAAATATGTCTAATCAAAGCCGAAATAAGATAACGACCATCGTAGACAGGATTTTTTAATCCAAATCAAGAGAGTCTTTTATCTATTTAACTTTGGTCCTGCACCTTCCCTAAAAAAACTCTCATTCGGTAAAATATTTTAAAAAGAATTCATATCATATACATGAAATAAAGAATACTCCCAATTTATTACACCGAGATAAAAAAAAAAAAAACCAAATCCATAATGGCAAACATAATAAAATACACGTATATCAAAAGTATCGTTTGAAGCAAAGCAAAGTACATCAACAATAGGTTCACTTTGAAATATTTTCCCATCATGCGAAATGTTAAATATATAAAAATATAGATTTACAACCTCATAATAAGTAATCAAGCTTTTACATATATGAACTGTGGCGCATACCTGCACATATCTAAACTATCCACCTAAATGGATAATTAAACGTGTACGTATTATCAAAATCGTAGACGGTATTGTATCAACAATCATTAAATATATATCTTGACTAATTGCAAGTGATTTAACCATAGTCAATGTACCAGTTTCGGTTTCCGGTTTCTTTTCCAGTTATCTCACATTTGTAGCATTTTCTCTAATTTTTTGTTTGCAAATCTATCTTTAGAGCACATTGCAGATTCAATTCAAATCAATTCAAATATGTCTAATCAAAGCCGAAATAAGATAACGACCATCGTAGACAGGATTTTCTAATCCAAATCAAGAGAGTCTTTTATCTATTTAACTTTGGTCCTGCACCTTCCCTAAAAAAACTCTCATTCGGTAAAATATTTTAAAAAGAATTCATATCATATACATGAAATAAAGAATACTCCCCATTTATTACACCGAGATCAGAAAAAACCCAAATCCATAATGGCAAACATAATAAAATACACGTATATCAAAAGTATCGTTTGAAGCAAAGCAAAGTACATCAACAATAGGTTCACTTTGAAATATTTTCCCATCATGCGAAATGTTAAATATATAAAAATATAGATTTACAACCTCATAATAAGTAATCAAGCTTTTACATATATAAACTGTGGCGCATACCTGCACATATCTAAACTATCCACCTAAATGTATTCCTATAAAAGTATTCATGCAATCTAGAACTAAAACATTTAACATAACGCTTTCTCACTAATTACAATATAATTTACCTTTGTTTTTAACAAAATAATAAAAATGTGTTTTTATACCGTCCTGCCATTGTTCTATTGATCTAGTATAAAAATCAAACCACATTCGCACAGAATCACAATGGTCGAGCTCTGGATTTGATATTTCTATGTCTTCATCACTTGGAATTTTAGATATTTCACATAATTGCCTTAATTTCCCTCTCAGATTTGGCAATATTGTTTTATAGCTATTTTTTGTTTGTTTAAGTTTTGACCAATCAAAATTGTATCATTTTATACGCTCAAATTAAATGTTCTGTAAGGAAGAGGAAGAAAGAAACAGTAAGAGCAAATGGAGGAAAGAAAAAAAAAGAAGAAGAAGAGAGAGAGAGACATAAAACAGACAGAAAGAGAGAGAGAGAGGGAGATATAGAGAGAGCGAGAATGAGAGTTATAGTTAGAGTTAGAGTGACAGTGACAGAGTGCAGAGCGAATCATGAGCTGCAAATAATGTACATTTCTTCTCAAAAGAAATATTGAAGAATCTATCTGCATAATAGTATACAATATGCTTGAAGATCACACGGGAATATAAAAGTATTAATTTGAATCTAAAGGTACTATTTCAATCTGAAAGAGCTATTCCTTTCAAGGCAGAATCGCATCAACTCTGTTTCGAGGAGTTAAGTTATTCTACCGCCCACCAAATACTGACTAAGAGAACAACAAGAGCTGCCAGAGAGACAAATATTTTGTTCTTTTTTGCCTCTCTTGCCTCTCTTGCCTCTATTGCCTCTCTTGCCTCTCTTGCCAGTCGATCTTTTTCAAATTTTTCTTGTAACACCAATTCTACTTCTGCATCTATTTTCTTTTGCAATGCTTCCTTTTTCTCTTTTGCGATTCGTGCATCTTCTTCTTCTTTAGCTTGCTGTGCCTCTACTCTCTCCCTCTCGAATCTTGCCTGTGTAAGTCTCACTTCTTCGGCCTCTCTCTCCCTCTCCTCTGCTTGTTGCACCTCCATACGCTCAATCCGTCCTCTCAATGCAAATATGCGATCCCCTTCTTTGATACAGCGTTTCATCAGCTTTAGCATATTCAGCTGATGGTCTAGAGATAATTCTTTCCTCTCCCTGGTGATGTTGGCAACCTCGTATGTGTCAACCAATCCAGCGGAATTGAGAACAACATACATGTTCTCCAGCTGATCCGGTGTTGCTACGTCTACATGCGTGATAACGCCAATTGGGTAGCGACCTTTAATATGAGAGGCGATACACAAAGGAAGACATGTAAAACAAGAAAAAAAAAAAAAGACAATTGAAGAACTAAATATCAAAGAGAGAGAGAGAGAGAGAGAGCGCGCGCGTAAGAATAAGAGGAAGAAGAGACTAAATCATGAGCATGAATTTAGGTACATCCATATAAGGGAGCATGATATTAGGAAGCAGGAGAATACCAAATCAACTTTATTTCGCATATTAAAACCTCAAGGTAGTTCATTAAGTGTCAAATATAATTGAGTTTGAGTTTGAGTTTGAGTTTATTAACAATACAAATAATAACAAGTAAAACATAATGTATCAAGCATGATTACATAAAATATAACAATATTACACAAGATCGATAACATTACACATGAATAATATGAATATTGTTTTACAAAGAATGTCGTATACAAATGGAATAAAATATTATGTGTACACTTTTGTTGTTAAAGGGGGTACCAGAAGTTAGCACAAGTGCTAGTCGAGTCTGGTTCCCTGTCTTTGGCAAGAATTTTAAAACTTTTTTTTTTTTTTTTTTTTTTTTTTTTTTTTTTTTTTTTTTTTACTATACTACATTATATACATGTAACATAAACTATACAAGTAAACAAGTAAACTCGAAGTATTCCTTACTTAATATACATGGAAGTCAAACGTGTGTTGACTTCCGTATCGATACCAAACATACAGTAAATAAAAAAAATATCATTATCTACTGATCTTTTTAGAATTTTTCTAATCTGAGATTTCTTTTTGCCATTTTAAGAAGTTTTAACTTTTGTTTTACTAAAGGTATTTAGATGTTTCGTTAACCCCTTCCGAAAAGCATTTTTAGATTGTATTCCTCTTAAATCGTATGGTATACTATTCCATATTTTCACGCCCATAAATGATATTGAAAATTGACCTTGTGTGGTTTTGCATTTATGCAGATATAGTTGTCCTTGTTCGTTTCCCCTTGTGCCATACCTGTGCTCTATTACCTAACAGTATTCAATTAAGGAGTGAGGAAGATTGCCATTTAATGAGTCATAGATGGAGGTTGAGACAGATGGGAAATGAAGGTTGTAAATATTTAAAACTTTTATCTTTTCGAACAAGGGTTCCAAATGGGTACCTCTTGGGCTAAAAGTTATCGCTCTCATTGCCATTTTCTGGGTAAGGAAAATACAATTCAAGTTGGTTTTGTATGTGGTTCCCCATACTTTAATTCCATACAAAATATGTGGCTGGATTAACGCCTTGTATAATAGTACTAAAATGTTCTGTGGGACATAATGCCTTATTCTGAACAAAATTCCGACTTTTGAACGAATATTTCGATTTACCATTTGTATATGTTCAATCCATGTGAGATGCTTATCAATTTGTAGTCCTACAAAAGATGCCTTATCTACTTCAAGTAATTTAGATCAAGAGCACCTTTTACTTGGACAGATCTCCTTTTGCCCTTTATTATCATATAATTTAATTTGCTTAGATTAATTGTGACTTTGTTGGCATAACACCACTGCTGGACCTTATTCAAATCCGTATTCACCTCATTCATACCAATATCTTTCTGGCCAGTCTTAAAGGTATGAAACAAGTTTGAATCATCAACAAATAACCTGGAGTTTAAAAATGTTGTAGAGTTTGGCAAATCATTTATATAAATGAGAAAAAGAGTTGGGCCAAGAACAGATCCATGTGAAACACCGCATGATTTTTTAAAATATTGAGACATTGTTTCCCGGTATTTCACAAACTGAAATCTATTGCTGAGGTAATCTGTGAACCACAGGAGCGCAATGCCACGTATTCCGTAATGAGATAATTTACTAATTAGAATGTCATGGTTTATAGTATCAAATGCCTTCTGAAAATTAATGAACACACCAATAGTTAGTTTTCCCTCATCTTTTGATTTCAATAATGCAGTTGACAAATTAACAACAGATAACTTTGTACTGTATTTCTTCCGGAAGCCATACTGATGTTGCTGCAGCACATTGTTCACATCTAAGAAATCCATCAACCGACTATTTACTATTTTTTCAAAGATTTTTCAAAGTACTGGTAATACAGAAATTGGCCTGTAGTTTCCTGGGATGTCTTTTGGCCCTTTCTTGTAAATTGGTGTTACTTTTGCTATTTTTGAGGCATCAGGAATTTACCTTCCTGCAAAGGCACATTAAATATGTGAGATAATGGTACATTAATAAAGTGACTTGCATCTCTAAGCAGTCGCGCTGATATGTTATCATAGCCACATGACTTGTTAACATCTAAGGCAGAAATGTGATTCTCAATTTCTTTTTCAGTCACTGGTTTCCAAAAGAGAGTTTTACTCAGCTTAGGTCCTAAATATGCAGTGTAATCTGCATCATTCTGTGGTATTTTATCTTCCAGGTTTTTTCCAATATCAACAAAGAACCTATTAAATTCAGAAGCAATCTCATGATCATCTGTTATTACCCTACTCCCACCGTTTTTATGAATAGTCAATTTTTCAATGTTGGTACCCTTTCCTGACACTTTTTTACCACACAATAACTCATTTATAGTCTGCCATGTTTTTCTGGTGTCGTGCCGGTTTTGTTTTAAAATAACATTATCATAATTACGCTTTGCTTTTTTTATAACTAAAGTAAGAATATTCCTAATTTTTTTATATCTATCTCCAGATAGTGAATTAAAATTTGATCTTTTATACTTACAATACAAATTCTGTTTTTTTTTTTTGCGTATTGACTTCAGTATAGCAGTGTTTTATGTCTGGTTGGTCTTTGTGTTACGATTGGTGCATTTTTATCACATATCTGTTGATATAACTTGTAAAACATGTCATATCCTTTATTAACGTCTTCTTGTCTGAAAACAAGATCCCATCTTGCTTTGATAATTCTTCCTGAAGCTTTTTATCTTCATAATTCTTAAAGCTACGGGTAGTAGTTCTCCTACGACACGTGTCATTACTAGTAACTGTACAATGCTAACAAATTACAAAGATAGGAATATAATCTTGAATGAAACAATGTGATGAACACAAATATAAGCATTATCAAAATACAAAAAAGAACATTAACGACGACGTTACTACAACAACATTAAGAGCAACCGAACGTGTTTAAGTTGAACAAATATTAGGAAAGAGTGGGAAACTAGCTGAGGTATTATAATGTTCCTAGATTAACCATGTAGTTCTAGGGGGTTATTCTCCCGGAGTAATTATCCTCTGAGGCTATCGTCCTTGGTAATTACCCAAAGGTTATTGTCCAGCGGGGGGGGGGGGGGGTTATTCAAGGTAGTAATTTTCCTTCGTTCAATTCCTGAGAAATGTGCTCCAGGTTTGCTTTCACATTATATGAATAAAGTATATTTTGAGACTTGCGACAGTAATTTCCTTAAAGGGACAGTTGACTTCTTGTTTAAGACTGCAAATGCCTTGAACGTGAATGATTATTGCTCTTATCCCTTTTTATGGCATTTCCTGTCCTGTTTTAGCACCTAAAAAAACTATGAAGCTCATTTGAGACCCTAACATGAAATTAGATTAAATTCGATTATACCAATTCAGCTCCACTTTCCAACAAATACTGTGAGAGTTCATTTAAAGCCCGTCTTTACTAGTTTGGCCAGGAGGGATTATACCTCCCTGCAAGGTCACTGACATGTGGTTATCTCATCAAATCAGCTCTCAATTACCATAGGAAAAAGAGGATCATGGAGGACCAAGGGGCACCGCTTGAGCTATAGTCACAACTCAGAGCGGCGACCGACCGATTTGTAGCCTGCTCGGTCGTCACTGGAATTTAGGCATTGCCCAACGATTTTTGGAGAAGTCGAGCAGGCTGTCTAGCCCTAGCGATGCCTGGGCGTTGTCATGTCGATTTCCCGCCGGTTGATTTTAGGACAAAACTGGGCAACATTCCGTGCTAACTCCGTGCTAAAACTTCAGCGGCAACCGAGCGATGCCCTAAAAACTGGGCGGCCGCCGCTCGGTGCCCGGGGGAAATTGGCCTAAAACTCGCCGCCCGGCCGCCGAGCAAGCTACTTTTTGGGGTTGTGACCATAGCTTTGGGCATTGTTTGCTATAAATAGGTCAAAATTAGCTACAAGTAGTAAAGTCCCGCTTTAATAGACCATTTCGTAGTTAGCACATGGGTCATATGCCTCCAAATATCCACAGATCTTATACTCATGGAAAGTCCCACTTTGTGTATGCAATGTATGTGCATGAAAAGCTTTTGTTTGCCTTCTTGTGTCAATGTACCGTAGGTGCACACATTAATGATTACATAACATGAACACGTATTTATCTCGGTGGGTTTTACAATTTTATCACAAATGACCTTTATCTGCCCATGCGCAGATAGTATTTATGACAAGGCTTATAATGTAATGATAATAACAATACACGGGCCGGCTAGTTGTGCGTATTATAACCAAAACAAAGCCAACGTTCGCATTGGCTGGAATAACATGTATAAGGCACTATATCGTTTGTTAACGGCTGGTTCAAAATTATCTAAATATTTCCTTGATATTTTTTGTTGTTTACATGTATTCATATCCAGAGATTAAAAAAAACACTTGTATCAAACCTCGTACAGATTAGCTACAGTTTAACATTTCACCAACAGCTTTACAACTTTTCATGCCATTTTTTTCTGGTTTTAGGGACTTTTAGATTCACACGAAGGCAATGGGGATTTCTACGATCGACGTCCTTTTAATGCACTGCCTTGAATGGACGTCACACGTATCAGTCCACGCAAATCTAAAAGTCTCTACTGCCTCCTTCCTGACCACCCCTACTGCACACGGGAATTCCAAGTGGTAAGTGATCTTTGTTGGAGTTTAGGTCTTTCTACCAAAATATATTTCATATAAAAAACCTGTAATAGATTCTGTGTAATTTAAACATAATTATTACACTGTCACGAATATAAACAGATAGGTTGTTTTACGGTAAAAACTAGAAGACAATTTTGGTTAAATGTATATAAATACGAAACCTCGCCCACATACACCACTTACTATCTCCTATTAAGTGCATGTTACAACTGCTTTTGTCTGTGTTAGTTCATTTGGTTGCCCCCCCCCCCCCTTCCTCATCGAAATATTATTCATTCTTTTTTTTCTCCTGTTGTTGGGCATGTAGCATACTAGATTCATATTGCCATTCATGTTTCGATATTCTGTCCAAGTCATATTAATTATTAATTCACAAAACGATAATTCAACACCAATGAACTATCTTACAACACCTGCAAAAAAGTATCACAGCGAGTAATATAAATTAGGAGACCCGGGGTTGTTTCACAAAGACTAAGATCTAATTAAATTTGACTTGACCTATGGCAGGCTGTTTATGCCACTAGTTCCTTTAACCATTTCTGGCATTAGTTATTAAGAGACGTACACATCGTTGTCACGAATATACATATATATTTTTTCATAGTTCTTTTTTTGAAGGAAAACGTATTATCTTAAGGACATAATTGAGAGACCAATGGTGAGATCAACCAGTAGTCCAACTTGAGTCGATCTCAGTCTTTGAGAAACACCCCGGGTATATTATGTGGTCATTCATGATTTCGAAAATCGTAAGAATCATTTTTTTAAACATTAAACAGGACTCGAACAGTATACTACTATAACGAAGAATGCATTCAGACCCCTGTAACTTTACTTGCCATTATGCGTTAAAAAAATTCCGGGTGCGGCATGCAATTACCCTTTGAAAGTACCACGACATAAACAAACACTGTCTCGTGTGCCGGGGAATACGTATCCGGTATATATTAATCGTGTTAAATCGTCGAACTCTTTAAACTATATTACAATTATGGTTATTAATATTATTATTATCAGTATTGCTATTTTTATCACTATTCTTTGTTATTATTATATAAATTATACAGAGTTATTTGTTATTTTGGAAATTACGAATTATGAACCTTTGTAGCAAGAAAACGAGATTCAGGAATGATTAGCCTTCAGAATTATAAACATTCGGGAAATAACAATCGTCGTGATAATTTTTCGGGAATCATATTTACACATTTGCATGTTGAATATATTGTAATTGTTTGTCGGAATACGACTAATACTTTAACCACACTATTTGCTTGATTGATCTCTTACCTTTAAACTAGCACGAATGCAACTATTTTAAAAATTAAATAAATATTTTTTGTTTTCTATTGCCCATATAAATCTTGCCTGGGATAAGTAATACATTTGTAATAAGGCTACTAAAAGTAAGTTGATTATTGTCCTTACAATTAAGTTTCAAGTACTTGCAGTGAGCTTCATTTTAAGAATTCATTAGTAGTCATTTTTTTTTCGTATTTAAAAGATTAACCAAAATATATGTTATATTCACCTTGCCATTCGAAGATTTCTGTAACAAGCTTGCTCAGAACCGTGTAGACTGACTGTGGGTTCTGGGCGCTGCATCGGAATGATAAAGGAAAAAAATCGTTCGATTATAATCGTATAGATTTGTAGTCCATAATATAACACATTTATATCCACAGTTATAACAACAATGATGATAATAATCTTAATTAATAATAATAATGATTATGATGATAATGACAATTATGATAAAGATAATAATAGTAATAATAATAATTATTATAATAATAATAATAATACAAAGTATAATTGTTATTTCAATTTGTATTACTATCTTTATTATATTAATAATAATAATGACGGTGATTATTATAAATACTAGTACTATTCATTCTAGTGATACCGTCATTATCGTCGTCATCACCATCAACATAAATATCATAATTAATAGTATAACTAATCAAAACAATCTATCTAACTGACTTAGGTAATAAGGCAACCTGCCTTTAAATCTGTAAAATTATTGTGTGCAATATTAAAAAAGATGAACCAAAGAATGTCAACAACAAAAAAGCCGTCGCCCGTCTGGTTGGATACTTAAAATTATATATGCTTTCTTAGCAGTCAAGTAAAATAACCATCACATCACAACAATATATCGCTCAAGGGGGAGGGGGGGGGGGGTGTTGAGTAAAATGAAAAATGAAAAATAGTGCTCATCCCCCCTCCCCCGCTTATTCGACGGCTGATTCGCCGCTTAATGTTTTCTCACGAATTGCCCCCCCCCCTTTTTTTGGGCCCCCGCTCTCGTCGCCGGCTCTATCCGCCCCTAAAGTTCACACTACACCAGGCCCGTAGCTAGGGGTTGGGGTGGCGATGTGGAAGGTCGCTTCCCCTCCTCCCCCCCCCCCCCCCCCCGAAAAAAAAAAAAAGACGCGAACCCAAACAAAAGAGAGAGAGAGAGAGAGAGAAGAGAAGAGAAACAAGCAAAATGACAACGACTGTTTTGGAAACATTTCAACAGAAACAAAAAATTGTAATTGTCAAATGAGCATTAAGTTTTATAGCCAATAGCCCAGCGCACGTTCAGCTCGACATAACATATCAAGCGTACCTACACAATAATATGACTATCGAGCTCTACGGAAAAGTTATGTTCGCCACAGAGGTCCAGACGATTCAGCTTTGAGCAAGTTACTCAATAAATATGAGGCATCAAGATTTTCTCATCTGACGGTTATTAAATGCCTAGTTCCCCTAGCTTCCAGTGTCTGTGCCCCTTGACCCTATTAGGAACCCTAAGGCGGGCCCCTAAATGCTCATCTGACCGTAATGCCCCTGGACCCCACACCAATTTACGCAACACTTTAACTGATTGGGGGGGGGGCACACTTTGAACAACGCTTCGTGGGGCTAACAGGCATGTTACATGTAAGAGTCGGGTGGTGATGCGAATTTTTTTTCCTGCCCCAAAAAAACTTTTCTGCTCATTACGCCACTGCATGAGAATGAATCAAATATTATTTTTGAACATTCATACAAGGATTAAAAGTCGAGAACGGAACCACAAATCGTCTTCTTTCTCTAATAATTTACTAAATCGTCGAAACTTCCTAGCTTCCAAGCTTCGCGCGGGAGGGGGAAAACCTCCTCCACCCACCCCCTGTAAGTGATTCCCCCTACCTAAAATAAAATCCTAGCTACGCGTTTGCAGTTTGAGATTTAAACTAACCACAGACAGAGACAAAAACACAACCCCCCCCCCCCCCAAAAAAAAAAAAAAAAAAAAAAAAAAAACCAAAAATATATTCACAAAATTGACTTCAAACATATTAGACGATCAGTCTGAACCATGCCAGGAGCAAATTTGAAGAAAATATCAGTTTCGGTGCTGAAAAACCAAAGCAATAGGAACATTTGTTCAAAAAATCGTACATGTGAAATTGCCCACATTCTCAATTTTCATTTGACAGCAGGTGTTGGATGACACTCACGTGTTCTTAACTTGTCATTGAGAGAGTTCTATATTCTATTTGAGATTATTTAATAGATTAAAACCAACAAACGAACCTCGATGGATCTCTAATGATTATACAAAATGCTTGTTTATTTTCCATTTGACATTTTGTTTTCTCGATCCTTCGAGCCATTTTGTTCATGCGCGAGTCAATGCAATGTACGAATGAGCTAACTTTCAACACGCAAAGAATGGGGAGCACTCACGGACCTCGTATCAATTTCGCTACCAATTTAGTTTCAAGAAAAGAAACTTAAACAAAATCACACTTGCATTTTTAGAAAATTGAATCTGTATTACGGTTAATAGTTCGGCCTTCATTTTGTAAACGCCATAATCTTTGTAGTTCGATTTGTGAACATTTAGCAGTGGCGGATTCAAGGTGGGGCACAGGGGACACGTGCCCCCCTCCCCCTCCCTTTAAAAAAGGGGGGTGGGGAAAAGAAAAAGGGAGAAAAGGCGAAAAGGGAGGGGAAAAGAAAGAAAAGGGAAGAATAAAAGAGGGAGGGGAGAAAAGAGGAGAGGGGAACAAGGAGGGTAAAAGTAATAAAGGGGAAGAGAGACGAGAAAAAAAGCGGGACAGGAAGAAATAGGGCAAGACGGAGGAAAGAAAGGGGGAGGGGGAAAGAGAATAATGAGAAGGGAAAAGAAAGAAAGGGGGATGATATCAAAAGAAGGTGTTTTTTTTTACCGGGAAAGGGGCTGGGGGGGGGGCATGCAATTTTGCAGTGTGCATAATAATAATCATATTGCTCCGATTGTCTCATTTTCGCTCGCTGGAGCATTGCCAGCACAAACCACTGACCTCTACCTCCTGATCGAATCATCGCCCATGTCCATTCACGTTAATTATGCTACGTACTAAAAGGATGTATTGTCTGACCGTTAATGAATAGTTATGTTTTTGCTTACCTCGGCATAATGTTTGCTTTTACTAAATGGAAAAATGACGGTGGCGGTTGAATGAAATGGACCTAATGAACCAAGCAAAAGTGATCTATAATAATTCATGCTTCTTATCCTTCGTGTGTTTGACCTATAATCTTAAAATCGCTTGGCAAACTGAGTCCAAAGTTCGACTTGTTTCACATGTGTATTATAGGCAATGCCGAGCTTGCAACCTATTTTGATCAAATTACGGTGCGTGAGCTTTCAAAAGTCAATGGGACATGAGAGTTCCAATGAAAGAGCTAGTGATAACGTAAGTCGGGTCGGATGTGCTTTTCTTTAAAAAAAAAAAAGATTTTTTTAACGATTTTTGTTTGTACAATTCCATAGGCTAACATGTATGGCTGCTGACTCTGACGATAGGGGGCGTTGTGAAATGAGACTAAACGGAGCTTTATGAAATATAGCTAGTTCTTATATACCGCTTTTCAAGACCGAAGGCCCTGCCAATGCCCTTTACAGATATATATATATATATATAATTACCCCTGTCATCGGATTCAGGCTTACCCGCACACAGTGCATGCATATTCTACACTCCCTGGGGAGCATTCCAGCCAGGCGTCATTTTTACAAGCGAACACTTGCTAAACTAAGCACATTATCTTTCGCCTGGAGAGTGACAAATGTAGATCAATGTCTTGCATAACATGGGGTCCCTCTTGCATGGCGTGTATCCCCCCCCCCCCCAAAAAAAAAAAAGAACACATAAAACAAGAGATGAAAAGAGGTGGGGTGGAAGGAGATAATTGTTGTGAGTTGAAGGAGAAAGGCAAAAATGAAAGAGAATTAAACAACGATAGAAAAAAGGTGCGAAAGCATGAGGAATTGCATTTCTTTTAAAATAATAACAACCAGGGGCGTCGCACAGGGGGAGGGGGTGTCGCTGCGACACCCCCCCCCCCACTTGTCAGGATATTGTCGGTACAATTGTGCTGCTGTCGGGAAAATGAGAAAAGGGGGGGGGGATGAGAGGGAAAGGGAAAGAAAAAAAAAGGAAAAGAAAGGAAAGAGAAGAGACGGGGGATGAAAGGGAGAAGAGAAAGAGATGGGGGGGGGGGTAAGAGACTGAGAGATTTATTTGCAATATATCGAGCTGAAGTTTAAGTTCATGCATTGTCATCAATAAGTTGTTGTGTTGGGTTTTTTTAAGTCCGATTATGTATAATATTTGAGGCATCCCCTGATGCATTTCATGGAGTCAGGAGAAAAGTCTTACGGGTTATAGTAATTTCACATTCCTTTTTTTTCTTCCAGGCAACTTCGAGAGGTGCAGCAGGGGAAGTCAATTTTATTCTTTCATACTTTGTATCCTATGTGCCATTTTATTGTATCTTCTATTGCATGTTTGAAATGCCAAATAAATAAAATAAGAAGAAGAAGAGGGGTGGGAGTAAGAGAGAGGGGGAATGTTGGGTGGAGTCACCACGTCGAGGGGGCAAAAAAGGGAACGCATAGATAATTATGTTGCTGTGTCGGTATTCTTGCTCGGCCCCCGTGTACTATATCAATGCAGAATTTTGAAGTCGGTGAGATTCAGACAAGGATCAGTGTGAGCTAAGAAATGGGAACTCGGCACAACGACTCGTCTTGTTTCCTTAATAATTTCATGAAACGTGACAGCTTCCACAGCTCGCGCGCGATGGGCGAAAATTAATTCAGGCAAGGATGTAGAGTAATAATTTAATGAAACGTCTAAGCTTTCACGCTTCACGTGGGAGGGGGAGAACTAAGTTCAGACAAGAACACGATACAACGACTCGTCTTCTTTCTCTAATCATTTCATGAAACGTGATAACTTCCGCGCTTCAAGCGCGATGGGCGAAAATTAATTCAGGCAAGGAATAAGAGTAATAATTTAATGACAAGTCAAAGCATCTACGCTTCGCGCAGGAGGGGGGGGGGAAACTAAGTTTAGACAAGGATTAAGAGTAAAAAAACAGTAGAACAATCGTCTTCGCGCGTGAGGGGAAAAACTGAATTCAGACAAGGGTTAAGAGTCGGGAACGGTGCAACGAATGTTAAAGCTTTCGCGCTTCGCGGGGAATGTAAAAATAACTTAGTTCCTGGCACTTGGTTTATAGGATTAAATTTGTAGACATTGGGTCATTGGCATTAATATATTTGTCGGTAATTCGTGTTTTTTTTTTTTTAATAAACGGTCTAGCGACGCCCCTGGTACCAACCATTTTATACACTCGAGATAATTTTTGCCAGTACTACTGGTAAAGTATCAGACCATCGTCTTTTTTGCATTGTCAAGCAACGAAGCATATACAACGTCGCTCGAAGTAACACATCACTTTTCTCTTACTTTTAACCTATCAGAACGCCTCATTTTTTTTCTCCATGAAGTGCCGTTGGACATTGATCCGCCAAATTTGGTTCTCAAATTGCCAAAAGATCCCTACATTTGATGGGGGTAGAAGAAAGTAATTTTGCGTCATATACTCCAGGAAGTGCCTGGAAATGCGTCTAATGTGGTTCTAAAATGGCAAATGCTTCCTACTCAGGAAGGGGGTCAGAACCCCTCCCTGACCCACCACCGCTTTTTCGTTCCGCTACCTCAAAGCTGACGCCAAGCTCTGTCGCTTCGCTCCATCGTTTTTCATGTATTTTACCCATGCGATTTTGTGCCCCCCCCCGGTATGTTAATTCCCCTAAGCCGGGCTTTAAACGAATTCCGGCGCCTGGGACTCATTTTTTCCGTATACACAGGATAATCAAACAACGTCAACAAATAAGCCTACTTACTCAAATACCAAGACTGTACAGTGGATCTGTTTTTCCTCGTTAACGAGAGTCTTCTTACTACTAGATTCTTTGCGCCATTCAACCTTTTCGGCAAATGAAGATCTACCCTCTGCAAAAGAGACAAACAAGAAATTAGAAAATATGCATAACAAATTATTCTTACTGTTGCAGTTGGACGGGGGCACGTGTTATCTTTACAGTAACATTAGTTATTAGTAATTGATAAAAATACAAGTTAGGGGCGTGAATATTTCAACAGGTTTTAATCGAAAGTTAGGAAGTTAGGAGAAGATTTCTTTTAAGCTCAGACGCTCAAGTTATGAAACGTGAATTTGGGGTAGCTCTGCGCTTTCAAATAACTCTCTTTTAGGTTAGGGTACAGAAACTACATTGCATGTACTTATAGATGACTAAATGCGTACCGTATTATGTACTAGCAGTGGTTTTGGTTTTGAACGGGTTATGACTTCAGATTTTAGTTTAAATTGTTTATATTTTTCGATAATAACTATTTTCTAACAACCTGAGTTGTAAGAATAACAAAAACAAAAACAATTGAATTAACATAGACTTTTCTGTAATTTGTGCAGCGGGAATTTTAGTAAAATATCTACTATCGAATAACACGGGAACCCCCTTTCCTCGGTTTTTACAAAGTCCAGATTAGAACTTAAGAATAAGCTTTACTTGACCTACTCCGAACATGGCTTCTAATTTTAAAAAAATAGGGTAGTGAATTGCCCTTGAGTGGATTATTCTCAAGTATTTGCGATCGTGTTATGAAATGCATGATAACATGTGTGCCCAAGGCCTATGTTTAGTATTATGCCATCATTATCACAATTTGTCCAATTTCGTTGTAGGACAGAAAATAATCCTTAGCTGCATGTTTCGTTCATTTTAATAAACCGGTTCAATTACAATCAATCAATTACCCAATTGGCTGATGATTTCGTTAGACGCATCGATAGTTTCCAGATCTTCTGCTCCAACTCCTCTGTTGTCGATGAACGTCAAATACTTTGTTATCCTAACTGGCAGCCGCCGAACAGTGTTGCCACCGTGGAAATTATCCGTTGAGGTTTGTTCCATCGTGAGCTCTGTCAATTCCCCTTTTAATGCAAATTTCAACGAGTTTATGAACGACGATTTTCCGATGCCCGTCGTACCGTACAGACCTACATTGAGCTCTTTGGCAAATGTAGTATCTTCATTAGGAAACTCAATGGAGTCACCTGGCTTAAGATTTGGCACTTCGTCACGTAGTTTGTCAAGTTCTTTCGTCTTTCTTTCTTCTGAAGTACGTTTTTCTTCATGAAGTATTTGTGCCTTCATCTGCTCTTCTTCCTCAATAGCTTTCCTCATCGCCTTTTCTCTCTTCAGGTGTTCAGTACGAAGGAATTCTTGGCCTTCTTTTAACTTCATTTTCTTTGCCTCTTCTTGTCTCTTCAATTCTGTTTCTATTTTTGCCCTTTCCCTCTGCAATTCGGCCTCATGAAGCATTTTTTGTTCTTTTTGTTCTTTTTCCGCGATTAGCCATTTGTTCCACAGTTCTTTTTTTTCTTTCTCCGTTTTTCGTTCATGTTCAATTTGCCTTCGCTTCAAATCGTCAAAATTACTTTGGTCATTCCCCATCGTGATGAATTAACGAGTAGTGTGCAGCGTGTAATGTTTGTCTGATATCAGTCACCATGCAGTTGAGTTAATGATCAGTCAGCTCGTTGTCGACACGATTTAATAGCATATGTCATGAATCATCGGCTATGTCTTCTCTGATTGGATAATTTCGTTTCAACTCAGAAGTCAGTTCGACACATCGAACTGTGAGGTATGCCATGCAATTTGTGCCAGTAGCTGTGATGCAGCACCATCATAACGTTATTATTCAGAGCTCCTCATTACATTGACTTCGAGAAGTAATATGCAACTATGGGTTCTGCAAAAGACCCGATTACCATCGGAATCCTATCTTTGGTCTGCGATAAAACCATTAATACTCAGTTGATCCCGATGTTAACAACACCTTGCACCAAACTTCAATTTGTTCAACTTAAACCGACGGATCTTCATGTTTTCTCTCCGCCAGGTGATTTACATGCAGTGATACTTTTACATCCATTCACTGAAGGCAGACTTTCTCTCACCGACGTAACAGATGCCAGGTATTCGAAATTGCTACCAATTTTGAGTTCACGTTTTGGTAAGATATGCCTCTGAATGATACAACACTTTTGAGCTGTTAAATATAGTGTGTCCCTTTTGCAGCCAACATCGAAATCTGTAGAATTGTGCAGGAATTATTTATATGCTACGTATGTTTTATCTGAAAATAATTAACGTTAGCAGTGTCCTAGTATCCAAATAAGGCAAGGAAACTCGTTTTATTTCTTGAATTCACTGTCAGACACTACTGAGTGACTGAGTGACTCCTTTTTCAATGGTAATAAAATACATAAAATGAGCTGTAAAGGGTACATGATAATTTGTCAACATCAATAACCTACTTCTTGTAATGAACGAAATTAAACTGATTGAATCTCTGCGCAAAATAAAACGTACGACCATTTAGTATAATTGTCAGAAAATAAGACTATTTCATTAAACGACTGCAATCCCAACATTCGATTCGACAACTAACGGTCGTTATTTTCATACGAAAAAGACATGTTCGAGCCTTTCTGTTTTGAGGGAAGTTCTAAAATCGCATTATCTTTCAATTGTCATTGCAATTTAATCTTTTCGTTTTTTGGCCTGCAAATGGAACACATTAACTTTTAACGCAAGGTTTATTTTTTAGATTTTACACAAATGTAATAATATTTTGTCTGGTACTACCATGCTATTATATACATTACTTATTACAAACGCAACAATGAACTGTCATATCTCACATTGATTGATTGATTTATTCAATTATTCCGGGGGGGGGGGGTACTCATATTTGTTTCGGACGGTGTGGGGCACTCAAGCCTCGAAACCCCTACACATTTGTTAGGGTCATTTTTTTCGGGGGGGGGGGTTTTCTCTAAGTAAAGCCAATTCTCACATTTCTTGGTGTTTGTCATTTGCAAACACCCGAATATTTTGAAGAAGAAAAAAAAAAAAAAAAAACATGTTTAGGGATATTTTGTTAAAAAAATGTCACATTAGAGCGGAACATCCCCGCTCTGCTGTATTCTTACTATTTAATTCGCTAGTTCTCCCGTATATAACATATTGTATAGTGTATGGGCAAATTGTGGTTCGAAAACAAATAATTGTTTTTTTAACTGCAAAAGAAAGCCATACGTATTTGTACAGGTACGCATTTCTTAGCTCACACTGATCCTTTATTCTATAAACTTAAAACACTAAAAATGTTCGATCCGAACACTATTGAAGTAACAGTTATTATGTTAGTATTAGTACATTAATAATCAACTTCCACCGTCCTTTGATACCATGTCTAGGTTTAATAGTCCTGTTCATTCATACCCTACTCGCATATCTTACAAATCTCAAATTATCAATAACTAACAAATCTGTTAGACATTCTGGCCCGGACATTTGGAATAATTTTCCCGACAACATAAAGTCTTGTTCAACCATGGACCTATCACGGATGGACATTCGACGTGATTCTTTCTTTAATCCAGTTAGTTCCACCGCCTTCTGACTATGTGCATTTTAATGAGAACATTCAGCTGTTTTAACAATAACGACTGCTCAAGCATGGTTTCGGTCATTGCCAAAGGAGCAGTTTCCCTCTCTTGGGTTTTGTTTGTATGGTGTGCTCTGTAAGAGTGTGTCTTAAATAAAACATCCCCAATGGGGAGCAGCAAAGTGGAACAGCAGACAATTTTGGTGATATGAAGGAAATTATTACTGATTCGCACACTTTTGCACACACTCATGACCTTATCAAACAATTAGAAGGCCATGATCTGTATAAACCCTGTACGTTGTAACTTTTGAATATTATGAGGAAATTGGGAAAAACGGGATTTTAAATTACAACCAATCCAAATATAACCTCTATTTGGTAATACCAACGTGTTTTTCAAAATAAAATACAGTACAACAATTTCCGATTATAAACCAAAACTGCACATCGATTTTTCATGATTTAAGCGAGTTATTATCTTCTGCGCATTTATATTAACATGTGTAAAATCACTATCTGAATTCTGTCCCGGGTTTTTGGCGGTGGACCTCATGAGATCAGAGTGAAGAAACATGAACGGAATGTTATTGAGACGACATTGACGGAGACAATCACAAAGAATTTCTTAAGAAAACGGCGAATGTCCATCCGTAATAGGTCCATGGTTCAACCATCTACTTCTTAAAAGCTATACTTAAACGACATATAATACAATCATACTCTCCCCACTCTTTAAATTAGTATAATAACACCGTGACCTTATTTTATTCTTCATCTTGCAACTGCTTTCTGCACCAGCACTTGCACTTGATCACTCAGTTCTCCCAAGACAGTTATGTCGCCAACTATTTTTTTTTCTTTGAGTCCACCATCCATCCCTAGCCTAACTGCTCACGATAGTGGTCTCCTGTGCTCTAAATTACCTCTCTTATTTATGGAAAAATATTTACTATATATTTCTTATCTTATTTGTATGCTTCGTACATGTTTACCGTATGATATGATTGTACATGATTTTCTATTTAATTAATTTTGTAAACATTGTATTCATTGTATTTGTTATTTTTCGAAATTTTGTATTTTAAATTTGAATTTGTATCTTTTTGATCGCAGAAATAAAATCAATCAAACAAACAAACAATGTCTTAATTTGTCAGTAACCCCCGGTTTTATTCACAAACAACGTTAAAGGCTGAGTTCACTCTAAAATAATTCGCTTTTAATAAATGCAGAACAAGAAGAGAAACAAAGCAAAAAAAAATGAATACAATCGGATAACTAATAAGAAAGTTATGATTTGTTTTTAAAAGTATGAACAACTATGGAACTTACAAAATCACTACACAAATAGCCAATTTGATTATCACTTTTTGACGTCATCGCCTCACTATTTATCATTTGCTTTATATATTTTCATCCCGTTAATTTAACTTGTTATTCCCACAAATTGATTTCCCCATGCCTTTGCCCAGGTTTATGACATTTCACGAAATCTGTTGTGAACTTTGAAGAATTGATACTATCTTCTGAATATTGTATATTCATACTCATTGATTTTTATATGAATAGTGTATCAACTTCACATTTGTCATGATTTAACTGACAAAAACCTCTATATTAGAGCATCCGCACATACAGATATTATTATCAATGGAACTTTGATGCTGGTGTGAGAAAAAAAGAATTTTAAGGGGAAAAATGGAGATTTATATTATCGATATACAGAAAATAATTTGTGGATAGTGAAGCAATGACGTCACAGACTCATGAATGAGTTGACAATTTGTCATGTGATTTTCAAAGTTTTTCATTTTATTAACAATTCATAACTTTCTTATTCGTTTTTCCAATTTTGGGTAAACTTTTTTGATTGGTCTGTCTGATTGTTCTGCTTCTATTGAAAGTAGGTTATTTTTGGAGTTGAACTGTCTTTAAACAATATGTGTATACATTGTGTACGAAAAACTACACCAATATTACATGATCATTGTATTTTCTAAAGAATGGTACATGGAACCAGAAAAAAAATGAAACATATATGCTCTTCGAGCCTGACCCCGCTACAACATTTATAAAATACAATAAGTTCAATTTGAAAGTATACAAATCACATCATACAACACTTACAACTAAGTTACACGGGGTTATATAACGAATTATATACAATAGCTTTTTGAGAGAATAAAGGTTTTTAAAGTAAATTCCCGAAACTGTTTCTCAATTTTTGAAATTTCATACCACATCGTATTGTGTTCCATAAATAATAAATAATACATAACGATAAGTCCCTGAGTAGTCCTAAAATTCAGTAGAAGTAAATGTCTACTTGCTATTTATTTTGTTCGCGGATATTTGTGCTGCGTTGGATCTAAGTAATCTAACAATATTTAATTACTCAGGTCATACATGAAGTACATACACGAAAGTGGTGCATTTGTCATTTATCATGCTTTTTGGGGTATAAAATCGGTTACTCTCGAACGTACTCCCTACATCTCAAATCCCTACGTGGCTCCATGAATACCTTATATAATAAAACCATTGTATATCTGGGGACAAAATGTGGCAACCGGACTACAATTTCACATGTTTCTTCAACAACCTCTTTAATTTTCTCTCTGTATTTTTTTCTTCAGTTAACCAGATAATCTAATGTTTTTCTTTCTGCTGTAAATTGATATGGACTATGATATTTACATACAATTGCTCTAGATTTCCTTGAAAGATATGAAATCAATTAGAGACATCTACAAATAATTCTGAAATTCAAATAATCAGAAACGGGTGGTAGATCATTTAAATAAAGGAAGAATTACTGTCCATATCCATATTCAATAGCAGAACAAATAACGGATGTACATTGATGGTAAGTTAACAGTGCCTGTAAAGTGGTTCACCATGTTCCCGGTGTATGCTTTATGTTGCATTAGTCTAATGTCAATTAATAAGAATTAAGGCAAAGTAAATTAAGATAAAACAATTATGGAAATAGATGCGCATGGACATT